TGTTCTTTGTGTCAACGATATGTCTTGTTGTAACCTCTGTTTGATCACCTGTAGGGCTAGTTTGGTGGGAATAGATGTGAACAAGGATACAACATCGAATGATACCATGACTTCATCGTCTGCAATTTGTCGATGTCTAATTTGTTGATATATATATATATATATATATATATATATATATATATATATATATATATATATATATATATATATATATATATATATATATTACAATCTGCAGACATGCATGTTTCGGCGTTCAACGCCTCGTCAGTACAGCTTGGTACACGTCTAGATACGTGAGACACTCGTATTTATATCCCATTACAACACGGTGACTCAATGCATCCAGACATGCGCAGAGCGTAATGGGGCCAGTGTGCTCAAACGACCACAAGGGAAGTGAGCTTTGCATTATTGCTAGTAGACACCCATTAACAAACCCGCAGAGTGCTCAACAACACCGAAGTGAAGGAGTGTAATAGTACAATAATATATATATATATATATATATATATATATATATATATATATATATATATATATATATATATATATATATATATATATATATATATATAAATCAATTTAAAAATCAGAGACTATGCGACTTCGACCGTCAATTTATTAAAAAATTAAAACATACTAAAATAAAAGCTTAAAAGTTAAAAACGTTTTGGCAGTTCTGCCTTTCGGCAGGCACTCAACAGGCCAATACACTCAACCCTGATTGGACAACGAAAATCAACAAACATTTCAAATTTTTCTCCACTGGTAGGGAGGACAGTACTTGGAACAATACTGTAATAATTTGATTATTTGAATCAAAATAATTCACAAACGTTATAAAGTCTACTACAAGTCGATTATATGTGTTACTGTAAATATAACTGCAAATATAACTATAATTTGAAACATTTTGTCAAATAGGATAAATTACTATCCGTATTTACTGACGAAACTTCTTGAATTTAAATAATTAGATTTGCACTGGTTTTCCCCCGAGAACATTTCTTAATTGTTTTGATTTAAATTTACTATTGAAAATTTGAAATGTTTGTTGATTTTCGTTGTCCAATCAGGTTTGAGTGTATTTTGAGTTTTTCAACGACTTCTGCTTTTTGTCCAGCAAACCCGGCACGCGGATATATTTTGGCTGAATTTTGTTATTCCCTCACGGATTTCAGAGCGAATTTAAGCTCTTTGATTAAGGCATCGTTGTTTTGAGAGTTATACGGTATCATTCTTGCAGGGGATATCGATTAATCGTGCAAGAAATGCATTAAAGGCGAAAAATCGAGGATAGTTTCGTGTGACATATGCCAAGTCTGGGCTATTTTGGTCTCAATGTTTCCTTTTTTCCCTCGTTATAAGGAAAGCACAAGCGGGCGCGGGCAAATCGAGCTGTGGTTTTCTTGGTAGTGGCGTTCGTATAGAGACGCAAGCTTCTGATTGGCTGACTATTTGACACAATTACTAAAAATAGCAAATGCATAGAAATAATAGATATCGAATGCGTACCAATTTGTAGATTGGGGATAGATTTTGAGTTCTTTGAAGGCACAAACTGTCAAAGCAAATGTGCGGTTACAAAAAAGGTGAAAATCGTGCAGTTTTATAAACAAAGTAGTTTCGCCGGTTTCGCATAAACTGATATAACTTACTCATAAAACATTTTTGCATGTTCTGAACGTCACTAATGTCAATGTTTTGCTAATAACTTATAAGATTACAAAATGATAGTTCTTTCTTCGTCGGGTTTCGTTTTTCTTCGATGTAAACGAAGTTTTTTATGTTTTTGAAACAAAATATTTAGTTTTCGATAAATGGTAAATTGCCTAAATTATAATCGTCGAAACCTATGGTTTCAAAAGCGTTGCCTCTGATCAAGCTCAAGCAGCGTAGAAAAATATGAAAAGTAATTGTGTAAGTTTAAAAAGATTATTGAACTTCATTCATATTACAAAAGAGTTGAAATATTTATAGAACATATACCTATTGAGTTTGTCTTCATCTTTTGGGTTTTGTTTTGGCTTGCACAACAACGTTGAAAATTTATTTTTAAACGACGATTTCTGTATATATTGTCCAGAACTGATGCTTTTGGTAAAAAAGCCTACTAAAATGGTTTTTTAGACACTTTTTCACTTTATGATACTTTTTTTCCATTTTTAGTTTCGATATAAAAATTTTTGCAAACTGTACAGTTGAAAAAACAATTCTCATTCCCTGTAACCGCGAAAAATCCCTTGCCGCCTGGGAGTCTGGGAACCAAAATGCCTTTATAAATCCGCCATTTTGTGGAGACAAATTTTTCACTGAGAAAAGTTAGGAGTACGCATTCTATATCTATTATTTATATGAGCAAATGTCAACAACAGCATTTTTAACTTTTATATTATAAGATTATCAAACAAAATAAAACTAGAAATGGAAACTAAAGGAAAAGCGAAGCATCACAGCAAAAACGTCTATCATAAATGACTTGTATCTATCGCTTAAATCCAATACACAAAACTATAATAGTCTTCGTCTTCGGATTGACATCAGACTAGAGTATAGTAAATACGAAATATTATGAACAGGGATATTCTGTTTAGCGCAAATTCTAAAGAAAAGTGAGTTGTTTGAGTAATATTATCAAGGAAGAGATTATAGTAGGACAAAATCTATTATTCAGGTCTCAAATATTCAGCAAATTTCAAACCATGCTAAAACAGCACAAAACTGCCATTTAGAAACGACAAATAAACATCGAGGAAAACTATATTTTGCCAACATTAAAAAGTGCAGAATTTCCCTGATATATGGACTATATCCTTAAAAAAGCTGGCGTGAAAATATTCAGCCCAAAATCACACTAAATACAAGGAATCGCAAACATGCACACACTGTTATTTTCAGGGAGTTAAAAAAACTCCCCTATTACTCCTTTTTGGTGGAGTTAAAATTTTAGGGCTATGTTAACCCCATATCAGGCGTTATAATAACTCTTTTTGAGGAGTTAGAGGACACTGGCGAACTAGTTAGTGGAGTTATTCAAATATAACTCCCTTTATTTGAGTTATTTGTTACAGGAGCCTTGGCAAACAAAATGGCGTCGTCTTTTCGGCTAGATTTAATAGTTTTAACTCGCTCAGATTGCTTTCCTTTCAACAGCACTCAAGAAAAAAAAACGTGACAACGTAAACAAAAAGGGAACAAGAACTACATTATTTATGTTTCAGGTAAGAGAACATCTTTTATTTCGTGTTTAATATAAATATTCAGATGAGAGGAGTGACATTCTTGGTCACAGCAGCTCAATGATGTAGTGTTATTACAACTTATTTTTAACATTCTGTTGTGATGTGTTGTATTATATTAAATTTAAATATAGCAATTACATTGTACCTTGTCATACAGTAAAATACAATGCACTATAATTACTTAAAACAAGACATGATAGCCATGACAACACAAAATACAGTAAATTTCATTACAGTACAACAAAATATATTACAATTTTGCATAGCACAGTACATTATAGTACAATATTCCTGAGAATGCAGTACACCAAAGGACAGTACAGCACAATTTCCCATATGGTTCAGATTACTGTAGCACAGTGAAATACAACAAAGTTTGTAACACATAACAATTCAGTGCAGCACAATACAGTTTGAGGTGATTGTTTGAGCTATGTGCAATACCCTCTCAGCCTTGAGAAGTAAAATCGTCTGGGATTATACAAAGTAAAATACTAAAGTAGGGCGTCATGGGCCAAAAAATGTTTACCACAGCCCAGTCCAACCTATGTACTGTAGCGTTAGTATGTCACAGCATACTGTAGTACAACACATCACAAGAATATACACTGTCAGCCATTTGGCACAGAACAGTACTGTACTGTACAGCACAATTGAGTACACAACAGCATGGTACAAATCAATATGACACAGATAATAGCACAGTGGGTATATAGCACAGTGCGGTATACCACATAATGGTGCCATACAAAAAAGTAAAGAACAATACAGAATAGTGCGACACCACATTCAGCATAGTGCAGCACAATGTAGTGT